GATAATAATCGATATGGCTGCCTGAAATTGTCTAAAAATCAATATTCTGAAAAATTCAAATATTCCAAAAATTGAAAAAAATTTTTTTTTTTCAATTTTTGGAATTTTCTTTAAAAAATTTCAGAATATTGATTTTTAGACCATTTTAGGCCGTCATATCGATTTTTATCGAAATTGGAAAACTTTGCAATTTTTCGATTTCAGGCCATTTTCAGCCGTTTTAGGCCTATTTTGGGCCATTTTGATTCATTTTCCGAGAATTTTCCAGCAAATTCAAGCTTTTAAGGTCTAGTTCGGACTGTTTGAACCCTGAATGGCTAAATTTCGTCATTTTTTAGGCTTTTTGGACCGTTTTAAGCTTGATTTTCAGCCAAAAACATAGCCCTGAAATTATCGATTTTTTTTCCATTTCCAGAACCGATGGTCTCCAACATATGACGTGGCGGCAATCCTGACGTCGATTCAATCCTTGCTGGACGAGCCGAATCCCAACTCGCCGGCGAATTCGCTCGCCGCCCAACTCTACCAGGAGAATCGACGAGAGTACGAGAAACGGGTTCAGCAGATTGTCGAGCAGGTGAGATTTCGGCTGAAAATCTGAAAATTTGTCTGAAAACATCATGAGTACAATTTGACTGAAATTTTGGCTGAAATTCTCCTAAAAATGAGCAATTTCAGCTCATTTTAGGCCTATTTTTGTCTGAAAATGCTCAAAAATCGGCCAAAACGCCTCTTTTTCCTGAAAATTTTGACTGGAAATTTGCCTGAAAATTGGCTGAAAATGAGCCAAAATGAGTCAAATTGCTTGAAAATGGCTGAAAATGGCCGAAAATCGTCCAGTATGGCTCTTTTTCTTAGAATTTGGCTGAAAATGAGCAATTTGAGCCGATTTTAGGCGAATTTAAACCATTTTAAGCTGAAAATTCGGCTGAAATTTTGCCAAAATGAGCTGAAAATGCTCAAAAATCGTCCAGAATGGCTTTTTTTAAAGAATTTGGCTAAAAATTTGGCTGAAAATTGCTAAAAATAGGCTTAAAATCGGCTGAAAATCGTCCGAAATTGCTCGTTTTTTTTTCAAGAATTTAGCTGAAAATTTGACTGAAATTTTGAAGAAGTGAATTTTCAGAAAAAATTTCAGATTTTTTCTCGATTTTCAGACTAAAATCGGCTGAAAATGGCTCTTTTTCTTAGAATTTGGCTGAAAATTTGACCGAAATTTTGCCAAAATGAGCTAAAAGGAGCAAAAAACGTCCAGAATGACTTTTTTCTGGAATTTGACTGAAAATTTGGCTGTAATTTGGCTGTAAATGGTCAAAAATAGGCTTAAAATCGGCTGAAAATCGTCCAAAATGGCTCATTCTCTCTGGATTTTTTTTTGAAATTTCAGCCAATTTTCAAAGCTAAATGGTTACGAGAAATTATACAGACGATTTTCAGCTTCAAAAAATGTCTGAAAATTCGGCTGAAAATAGGCTTAAATTGCTCAATTTTCCTCAAATTTTAAAAAAATATCGATTTTTGCAGTCATGGCTCAATTTCGGCGAGAACGAGGGCGACGCGGTGATGAAGGACGGCGGTGGTGACGTGGATCCCGAAGAGATTCCAACCTCAAATGGATCTTCCGGAGGGGGCGGAGCCTCGGCTGCCGCCGACGACGACGAGCGTATGGATGAGGGCGGAGCCAGCGGATCGAATGCATAAATAATCGATAATTGATCATTTGCATCTGTTAATTTCTTTTGTCTTTTTTGGAAATTTTTGATTTTTGAAAAAAATTTTTTTTTGGCTGAAAATTTGAAAATTTGTCTGAAAATCTGAAAAAATTGTTTTTCGATTTTTCTGAAACTTTCGATCATTTTCGACGGAAAATCGCCTGAAAATCGAGTTTTCCACGAAATTTCGATCTAGAAATGCTGAAATTCTGGCTGGAAATCTGAAAATTTGGCTGAAAATCGAAAAAAGCTGAAGTCTTAAAATTTTTCGATTTTTCGATTTTTTTTTGCTGTTTTCCGCATTTTTAGACGGTTTTCAGCGATTTTCAGAAGGTTTTTTCGAGCTTTTTCGACTGAAAGTGAGCTGAAAATCGAGATTTTCACGAAATTTTGATATAGAAAATGAGATTTTCAGACAAAATTTTGATTTTCAGAAATTTCAAAAATTCAAAAAAAATTTTTTTTTCAAAATTTTTAATTTTCTCTCTCTCTTTCCTCTTTAGAATCAAAAAATTTGAAATTTCAAATTTTTTCGCTTTTTCTCTGCGTCTCTCTCTCTCTGTCTCTTTCTCTCGATCCCGCCCACACCCTCTCGTCTCCCTTTAAAGAATACGGTAGTTTTTCGATGTTTTTTCGTTTCGTCCTCTTGTGTATATATATTCTATTTGGCGCTGAAAAAATTGGCTGAAAATTTTTCTTGCTGAAATTTGTCTGAAAATTCCAGAAAAAATGAGCAATTTCGGACCATTTTCAGTGCTGAAAACCATCTCTAAATTGACACTATTTCTTCGTTTTTTTTTTGTGTCCGAAATTAAGCCCCGCCCACAATCACAATCACCCCACCCAGTTTCATTTTTCTGTCTCTTTTAAACCCATGTTAAAAAAAACAATAAATGTCCAATCAATGCCAACAAAAAAGGGGCGGAGCCTATTTGGGATCAATGAAATTAGAAGAAAAAATAGGAAGAAGGGGCGGAGCCTAATTTAGAATACTGTAACTCTCATCATTTTTTTAGTGATAATTTCAACTTTGTTCCAAGTTATCTTGGTTCTTGTTAAATATATGAACCCAAATTGGCTGCTTGATAAGGGACACCTTCTAATACAGGATTCAAAACTGAACAGCTGGAATTTCGGACGCATGGAAACTGATGTAGAGCTAATCAGGGATAGAAATGTGAGAACGAGGGTGGAAGAGAATACACAGAAAGAAACAATGGGTTACTGTAGATTCGTGGGAAGGGCACTTGATGTCATAGACTATGGAAGGAAGAGGAGATTTGATGGGGACTAGCCCAAGATAGGTAGAGGTAATGTGCATGAGCCATTTTGTGTTGTCTACAGTAACCCATTCTATTCCCACCCACCCCTCTGTCTCCTTACAACCATCCCCCCATTCTATATTTCTTTCCCCCATTCGAATGCCCTTTCCCTGTACTCCGTACTCCATTCGTCGTGCTATCAGAAATCATTAGTTTTTTGCAGCCAAAAGAATCGCAAGTTTGCTTTTTTTAAACTTTGAATAATACCTGAAAAAATCAAATTTATGATCAATTTAAAGGTGGGGGGACATGAAAAAAAAAATGTTCTCGAAATTCTGTTTAAATATGCCCCTCGAGGAGTTGAACTTGTCGAGGCGAGTATTGAAGGTGCGGCGCCGCTACCGACTGAGCTACGCGTGCAAAGAGAAAGCGCAAGCCCGATTGCATACATAAAGGCGAGGACGACAGCTGTACGCAGAGTGACATTAAGCGTTGTACACCGTCACGGTAGAATGCATACTCTAGCTACAAAAAAACTACGAAAAATCTCCTGTCCCCCCACCTTTAAGTCTTCTGGAGACAAATTCTGGAGACTGCCAAATTTGCAAAAAAAGAACAAATTGTTCCCTTTTTTTTTCAAATTTCTCTCTTTTTTCAGGAACTAAATAAAATGAATTTTATGTGTGAGAGAGAGAGAGAGAGAGAATTAGAGAAAGTAGTAAATTTAATTAAACTCTCGTTTTCTATGTCCCTTTAACACACGCTTTTCACATTGCTCATGAATTATTCACTATGGAGAAAAGAAGAGGAAAAAAGAAGATACTTTGTGGGAAAAAGTTGAAAATTAACAAGAAAAAAAAGCACTACACTTTCTCACATAATTCAGGACAAATGAAAGTTGAAAAAATTTTCTGAAAAATGGGCATACCGTAAACACTCTAATAGAAAGCTAGCTACAAAAAAACACAGGGTATTAATTCGACACCTCCATTTTTTATTATCGAAAAAAAATCAAGCAAATTTTAGCAAAATGAAGCAGAAAAAGATACAAAGATTTTTTCACAATTAACATTTCTCGCTATGTGACGAAATTTTGACACAAATTCCGAGATTTTTTGCAAAAAGATGATTTTTCATATTTTTCGATAATTTCCGCAGAAAACTGAAAAATAATGGCGAAAATAGAAAGGAAACCGCTTCTGGATGTCTAAATTCCAAAAAATGAAATTTAAATTTGACAATTTCCCGCCGGATTTGCAAGCGCGCTCCCTTGTGAGAGCAAATGGAGGTGTCGAATTAAGACCCTGTCAAAAAAAACTGCAAAAAATCTCCTGTCCCCCCACTTTTAAAATGGAAAATGTAGACTTTGAAATTCTCTAGAAAATAATAGGAATCTCATCATTTTAGAGTCTTTTTTCCAATTCGAACTATCTGAAAATGTTGATTTTGAAAGAAGTTATACTCCATTTTGTTTTTCAGAGTGACTGCCTCCTTCTGCTCCAACAATGTGAAACGTCTTCTAAAAGGTCTGTTGGGATGGAGAATATACTTGAAGGATCGGGACTCTTGGGCACGAGTCGGCATTGGCCTTGAACGCGAAGAATGTCTGAAGGCTGTTTTATCAGCTATGCACACATATCAGAACTAGACGAATCAGAAGCGAAACCAATTGAAACCCATGGATACAAAAGAGGTTTCTCATCCGAATCGATAGATCTATATTTTGAAGATCGAGTGATGGGAACAAAAATGGTTGTAGACTATGTCACTGATCTGTTCAATCTAGAGGTTCACGGGTTAATCATTGATACTTACGGAATTTGGGCAATCTATTGGATCAATAACTGACAGGAGAAGATGTTGGAGAGTTTTGAACTTCTTGAGAACCCCCAAGTGTAATTCTGATTCTGACAAAGAATTGAATTATGTTCTCAGATAAGAGTTACCAGGAATCCCTCCCTAAATAAAATAGGGTTTACAGAAATGCACGTGGTTCAGACTTTTATATTCTCGATGACAAGTTTCCCGTTAACTTTCGATTCGACGAAATCCTGGGATCAGTAAATCACTTGTTAATCAGTTCACATGGACATTGGGTCACACTCGACAACTTGATGATTTTGATTTTATTAAAATCAAACTTTATGGATCCAGAATCTCCGTCACAGATTTTCACTTTTTTTATTTTACAATTTGACGGAAATTTTGGCTGAAATTCTCCTAAAAATGAGCAATTTCAGCTCATTTTAGGCCTATTTTTGTCTGAAAATGCTCAAAAATCGGCCAAAACGCCTCTTTTTCCTGAAAATTTTGACTGGAAATTTGCCTGAAAATTGGCTGAAAATGAGCCAAAATGAGTCAAATTGCTTGAAAATGGCTGAAAATGGTCTAAACTCGGCCAAAATGACTCTTTTTTTCCAAAATTTTCAAAAAATTTGGCTGAAAATTAGCTGAAAATGGTCCACAATAGGCTAAAAATGGCCGGAAATCGTCCAGAATGGCTCTTTTTCTTAGAATTTGGCTGAAAATGAGCAATTTGAGCCGATTTTAGGCGAATTTAAACCATTTTAAGCTGAAAATTCGGCTGAAATTGCTCGTTTTTTTTCAAGAATTTAGCTGAAATTTTGGTTGAAATTTTGAAGAAGTGAATTTTCAGAAAAAATTTCAGATTTTTTCTCGATTTTCAGACTAAAATCGGCTGAAAATGGCTCTTTTTCTTAGAATTTGGCTGAAAATTTGATTTCGGCTCAAAATGGTCAAAAATCGGCCAAAAAGGCTCTTTTTTCTAGAATTTTCTGAACCAAAAATGAACCAAAAATGAACCAAAAATAACATTTTTATCCTTAGAAAATTGCCTTAAGTTTTACAATTCTACTATCAAATCCAAAAATTCTAAAAAATCGATAATTCATCAAATCTCCAAACAAACTTCTCCAGACTTCTCCCAACCGACCTTCGACGCCTTCTCTCCTCGCGCACCACCAACCAGGGCATCGTCAACCAAGCCAACATTCAACAGTCTGGAAGGCTAGCCAAAAGCCAGGATGTCAGATACAATCCATATCATGGATCGAGAATATCAGGTGCAACGGAGGTAGGTTTGAATTATATGGTAATTTAACTGCTGAGATACCTTAATGTTAAATCCAATTTATCTTGCCTCGTTTAGAAGATATCAAAAAATGATCAACTGATAAAATGTAGTTCATAATGTGTTGCACATTCCATCAGTTGAATCCATGTTGATATCTTTCACAGGGACCAAGATATATGCACTCAAACTTCAAAAGGTTTAAACATGTTTTTTTCAGGGTGACGTCGGACCAGGAGCACCGCAGCACACTCCAATGCCACAGCCACCGCTGTCATATCCAGCAAATCAATCCGTTAGGAACTTGCCGTATGGATCCCATTTGCCCACCAACCAGGTAGGTTCGAATAATACGGTAATTTGACTGCCGAGATACCTTAATGTTAAATCTAATTTATCTTGCCTCGTTTAGAAGATATCAAAAAATGATCAACTGATAAAATGTAGTTCATAATGTGTTGCACATTCCATCAGTTAAATCCATGTTGATATCTTTCACAGGGACCAAGATATATGCACTCAAAGTTGAGAAGCCCTTTTAGTTTAAGAAATTTTCGATAAAATTGACAAAAACTGGACCTTTTCTGAATTTTTGGGACATTCAAATTTTATGAGCAATGACTGAAAAATTGACCTCAAATATCTGAAAATCATCTCTAATTTTTGAGAGAGAATTTCGAAAAAAAAAGACATTTGAAAAACTGCAAAAAAGAGCAGAAACTGCTCATTTTTCCCGCAACCAACCCTGTTTTTTCTTAAAATTCCCGATTTTATATATTCCAAAAGTCAATAAACTTCCATGTCAAATTCAAAAAACGGGCGGAGCCCAATATTGAAAATTGGATCACAAGAAAAGAGGGCGGAGCCTTGTTTTGGAGAAGCGCCTGGAATAATTCGGATTTTCAGCCAAAAAATTTTCAAAAATTTAATTATTCAAAAAAAAAAAGGAAAGAACTACAAACTACAGTAGGACTTTGGAGTGCTACACTACTCGACAAAAATTGCGAGATTTTTGGTTTTTTTCGAGAAAATTGGAAAATTGAATTTTCCGCGCGCCCGAAAAATGTTTGAGCTGAAAATTCGGCTCTTTTCTAGTTTAGAGGTCCCAAAAAAAATTAGAGGTCCCAAAAAAGTTTAGAGGTCCTAAGAAAAAATAGAGGTCCAAAACTTAAAAATGCACTGATGCTAAAATAATGTACTAGAATGTGAATTATGTAAGAAATTAAAGTTTTGAGGTGTTATAGCAAAATAATTGTTGATGATATATTTTATACTTCTAATAGGCTTAGGAATGCATATTTTCTGACAATTATCTAAGCCTGAGAGACATCATAATCACGGAGTCATTACTGTATTGCCCAAATTTTCCTCATATGTAAATTGTGGTTCATCAGCAAGATTCAAGAGAATTGGAAGTTAAATTGTTAGGAGTAGTCATGTCATCCTATAAGACCTTAAAACTCAAACTACTCACACAGTTCAAATTCTAGTACATTATTCCAATATCTGTGCGTTTTTCAAATTTTGGGCCTCTATTTTTTCTTGGGACCTCTAATTTTTTTTCGGACCTGTAAATTGTTTTGGGACCTCTAAACTAGAATAGAGCCGAAAATTCTTCTTCCATTTTTTTCGAGGAATCTGAAATTTTCTGAAAATCTCAAAAGTCTCAATTTTTCAAATTTATGCAAATTTTGATCTTCAAAATCAATATTTTCGAGAAATTCAAATTGTAAAATGTAGATTTTGAATTTCTCTACAAAATAATTTGATATTCCAAAAGTGTTTTTGTGAGACCACCCGAATGGCACCGAGTAGTCATTTTAAGTGTTCTCGTATGCCAAAAAAGAGGGTGGAATAGGTTATTAAGAGCGGGTAAAAGAAAAGTGGGCGGAGCTTAATGTGACCAGTACGATAATAACCTATTAAGGGCCGGCCCGGCTGGCCCGGATTTTCGAGGCAAAAATTTTCAAAAGTCATTTTGTTTTTTAAGAAATATATAGTTTTGATTGTAACTTTCTCCAAAATCAACATTTTCCGATGTTTTGACTTGGAAAATGTAGATTTTGAAATGCTTTACGGAACTGTAAAATCAACAAACTTATATCATTTTGTAGAAAATTCCAAAATCTACATTTTTCGATTTGAACCGTTCAAAAGTTTTGATTAGAAAAAAAAGAAAATTTTGACTGAAATTTTGGCTGAAATTCTCCTAAAAATGAGCAATTTCAGCTCATTTTAGGCCTATTTTTGTCTGAAAATGCTCAAAAATCGGTCAAAACGCCTCTTTTTCCTGAAAATTTTGACTGGAAATTTGCCTGAAAATTGGCTGAAAATGAGCCAAAATGAGTCAAATTGCTTGAAAATGGCTGAAAATGGTCTAAACTCGGCCAAAATGACTCTTTTTTTCCAAAATTTTCAAAAAATTTGGCTGAAAATTTTGCTGTAAATGGTCCACAATAGGCTAAAAATGGCCGAAAATCGTCCAGTATGGCCCTTTTTTCTTAGAATTTGGCTGAAAATGAGCAATTTGAGCCGATTTTAGGCGAATTTAAACCATTTTAAGCTGAAAATTCGGCTGAAATTTTGCCAAAATGAGCTGAAAATGCTCAAAAATCGTCCAGAATGGCTTTTTTTTAGAATTTGGCTGAAAATTGCGAAAAATAGGCTTAAAATCGGCTGAAAATCGTCCGAAATTGCTCGTTTTTTTTCAAGAATTTTGCTGAAATTTTGGTTGAAAATGAGCTCAAATGAGTGAAATTTCTTGAAAAATGGCTGAAAATTTGAAGAAGTGAATTTTCAGAAAAATTTTCAGATTTTTTCTCGATTTTCAAACTAAAATCGGCTGAAAATTGCTCTTTTTCTTAGAGCAAAACTTGCTAGATGCTCAATCTGTTTGCTTTAGGTCCCACCGCTTAGCGAATCTGATACAAAGCTTATCAGTTTGATATCATTTTATAGAGAATTTCCAAAATCTACATTTTCCAATTTGAATTTTTGCAAAATCTTTATCTTGAAAAAAGTTACAAGCCAAAACGTGTCAGTGATCCTTAAGTCATCAGGGTGACTTTTCTACCCCCGCTGTTGGATCTATTCGAAATGTTACGTCTTTGAAATTTTACATAGTTTTGTACAAAATTTTGAGATCTACATTTTCCAATTTGAATTTTTCAAAACTATAGATTTTGAAGTCTTAAATGAGTGTTTTTTCGTACTGGTCACTTTAAGCTCCGCTCACTTTTTTGAGCACTTAATAACCCATTCCACCCTCTCACTTTGTATACGAGAACACTTAAAATGACCCTAAATGTCTCATTTTTAGTTTTTCCCACACCTTTTTTCTATTTTTCCAGCTGCTCAGTCCACTTTTTTTGGTCCCCCCGCCCAAAAAATAAAGCACTTCAAATCTGAAAAAAAAATATATAAATTGTTCTCTGAAAAACAAAACAAAAAGTCGTGTCTGGGTACAAATAGGCGTTTTTTGGCATTGGTTTTTTTGATTTTCAGAAAAGTCTGAAAATCTTCTTTTTTGTTTTTTATAACTTTTTTGGGGTACAAGAGTACTTGGGTACAAAATTTATTTTTTTTTTTGGCTGAAAGTGAAAAAAAAATTGGCTTAAAACATTTTGAATTTCATAATAGGAGATTGAAAAGTTGTTTGAAATTGTCACACTTATTAGGATTTTTGGAATTTTTTGAAAAAAAAAATTTTTTCGAAAATTTTTTTTCAGATTTTTTGAAATTTCAAATTTACAGATTTCTAGAATATATAGCAAATTTCGGAATTTTCGCATAATTTGATTTTTTTTGAATTATTTAATTTTTCCAGATTTTCGAATTTCTGAATTTTGGAATTTCTGAATTTCTGAATTTCTGAATTTCTGAATTTCTGAATTTTTGAATTTTTGGAATTTTTGAATTTCTGAATTTCTGAATTTCTGAATTTCTGAATTTCTGAATTTCTGAATTCCTGAATTTCTGAATTTCTGAATTTCTGAATTCCTGAATTTCTGAATTTTTGAATTTCTGAATTTCAGATTTTGGAATTTTTGAATTTTGGAATTTCAGATTTTTAAATTTCTGAATTTCTGAATTTCTGAATTTTTGAATTTCTGAATTTCCGATTTTCTGATTTTCTGAATTTCTGATTTTCTGAATTTCTGAATTTCAGATTTTCAAATTTCGGAATTTTGGAATTTCAGATTTTGGAATTTTTGAAACCTGGAATTTCAGATTTTTAAATTTCTGAATTTCTGAATTTCTGAATTTCTGAATTTCTGAATTTCTGAATTTCTGAATTTTTCAATTTTTGGAATTTTTGAATTTCTGAATTTCTGAATTTCCAATTCTCCGAAAACACAATGAAAATGCAAAAATCACATTTCTGGAATTTTTCGAAAAATTTCAAATTTCATTTTTTTGGAGTTTTTTCAAAAGTTTTCAGGAAAATCTGAAAATCCCCAAACTTCGACAATTTCAAAAAATCCTAAAAATCTGAAAATCCTGATTAAATTTTTTTATTCCAAAGATTTATGATTTTTCAAAAAAAAATTGTTTTCACTAATTTCAAAAAATCTAATTTACGATTCATAAATTACCCCAGGCTCTGCCCCCTTTTTCAGATGACGTTGTGGAAAATTTTTCCGAAGTCTCAAACTCCACATTCTCTCTGAAATAGTATCAAATTTTCAAATTTTCAAAAAAAAAATTTTTTTATTCAATTAAAATTTTTTTCTCTTCTCTGACCAGTACAATTATAAGTACTTTTTCCATTAGAGGGAGGGGTAATTAACTAGACCAATTATCTCTAAAAATTAATTGATTTTTAGTTCCTCCTTGACCTCTTCAGAAGAAGGTCAATGAATTCTGACGTCTTCTGAAAACAATTTTTTCTAAAAATGTTTTTTTCAAATTTCAAATTTCCCGCCAAAGCAAAATCTTCCAGGTAACCCTTTGCTCATCTTCAAGATGAAATCAGCTCTTCTTCTTCTTCTTCTCATCGTCGTCTTGGCTACAGTAACCCCGATGGCTCGTGGGCAGCGCCGGCTTCCATCCGGTGGAAACAACTACTACGAATGGCTCATGTAAACTGGATTTTTCGAAATTTTTGGCGCGAAATTTGAATTTAAAATGTCCGAAGCTTGAAAATGAGTATAAATTTCGATACTGAAAATTTGAAAAGTTTTCAAAAAAGTGTTATTTTTTCAAAAAGTTTTTATTTAAACTAAAAAATTTGAATTCCTTATCAAAAACTACCATAGAAACCATGTTCCCAGCCAGAAATCAGCCAAAAATCCCACGTGGCCGAACTTTTTAAAGTGGTGGCCTAGAAAATTTGAAAACTCGGCCACCAGATTTTTTAAGGTTTTTTTTGTGGTTTCTGGGGTAGTTTTTGATGAGGAATTCGAATTTTTTTGAAAAATTTCAGCCTAGAAAAAGATTTCACAGTGAAAATGAGAGTTTTTTTTTAATTTTTGAAAAAAAAATATTTTTTGGAATCTTTTTTCGGAATTTTTCAGAAAAATTGTGTTCCAGAGGTGTTTTTCGATTTCGAATTTGAATTTCTCATCAAATTTCACCCCAGAACCTTTTTTCCCGCTCGAAAACTCACTTTTCTGCATTTTGTCGTCAAATTCGGTGTTCTGGAAGCTACAGTAACCCAAAAACTCCAAATGGAGAGTTAAAGAAGCAGAAAAAAGTTTTTTAAAAGCAATTTTTGATGAGGAATTCAAATTTCATATCGAATTTAACCCCACAAACAGTTTTCGTTTGCAAAACCTGGATTTTTTTGGTGTTTGGAAGCTACAGTAACCCGAAAGTCCAAAATGGAGAGTTAGAGACGCAGAATGATGCATTCTAGGGTAGTTTTTGATTTGAAATTTGAATTCCTCATCAAATTTCACCCTAAAATCACCTTTTCTGCTCAGAAACTCGATTTTCTGCATTCTGTCGTAAAATTCGGTGTTTGGAAGCTACAGTAACCCGAAAACCCCAAATTGAGAGTTGTGAGACGCAGAAAAATGCAGTCTAGGGTAGTTTTCGATGCTTAATTCAATTTTGATGTTGAAAATTTGATTTGAAACAGTTCTAGAATACAAAGAATTGGAAAAAATTTTTGAAATATTTCAAACTTTAAAAAAATGTTTTGGAAGCTCGTAACTTGGCTCAATTTGAAGCTACAGTACTGATTTTAATTTTAAAATGAAGGAAATTTCGTGAGCTGTTTAACTATATAACATTATTAAGGCGCGCTCAACACGGATCCTCCATCGGAGCTCAAAACCCAATCGTCTCCTCCAGATCGCCAAAAATGGACCGTAACTGCTTTTTCTCGCCCGTTCAATGCATGTTTGACACCTCGACGTCGGATAATTTGAATTCTTTTCGTCGTTAACCTTGTCACTCGTTCTCCATCAAAAAAAGCCATTCCTTCTCCCCATAGTCCTCGATTTAAGCCCGATTCGCTCCGCCCACTTTTACGATTTCCGAGATTTTGACAAAAAATTCTAAAAAAATATTTGTTATATATTTTTTCCAATTTTTTGTGAATTTTTCCGAAATTCTGTATTTTCCTGTCATACTGTAACTTTTCAAAAAATCAATCATTCCCCTTTGTCTGCAAAAAATGATTCAAGAAAAACGCTTTAATCCAATAAATGCATGTTGAACAGTTAACACGTAAAATATAGGTCTTGAGACTGGTTTTTAATAAAAAATTGTGCGAAAATCGAGTTTACTGTAAAATTTGGCTCTAGAAACAGTTTTTGTTTGAAAAAATTGAAATATAAAAAATAAAAATTTTTCGAAAAAAAAATTTTTTTGGCAAAATTTTTTTTTCAAATTTTTCGGGACAAATGGATTTTTCTAGCTAATTTTTGATTTCAAATTCGAATTTCTTTTCAAATTCCACCCTAGAATCACTTTTTCCGCTCAAAAACTCGATGTTCTGCATTTTGTCGTAAGACTCGGTGTTTGGAAGCTACAGTAACCCAAAAACTCCAAATTGAGAGTTAGAGAAGCAGAAAAACGCATTTCAGACCAGTTTTTGGTAAGGAATTCGAATTTGTGATCAAATTTCACTCTAGGAACAATTTTAGTTCGAGAAAATTGGAATTTAAAAAATTAAGAAATTTCGAAAAAAATTTTTTTTTCAAAAATTCCTGGAAATTTTTTTTTCTAGCTAATTTTTGATTATAAATTCAAATTTCTCATCAAAATCCACCCTAAATTCAATTTTCCAGCTCAAAAACTCGATGTTCTGCATTTGGTCGTAAATCTTGTTTGCACAGAATCGGAGCTACAGTAACCTAGAATATCTGAATTGAGACGCAGAAAAGTGCATACTAGGGTAGTTTTTGACGAAGAACTCGAATTTGGCAATAATTTCCAACAAAAATCAGTTGAAAGACCCGAAAAATCGATAATTCAGACATCCGATCGGAGGCGTGTTGGTTTCCAGTGTGAAAGATGGCAATGCCGGCAGAAATAGCGGAAAAATGAGTAAGATATTCCGAGAAGGCAAGATAACACCACACAGACGATAGCTAGTCTGAAAATTTTGATTTTAAAATGCAAATTCGCTCTAATGATAACTTTTTTTCTATTTTTGGGTTAAAAATCAACTTACAGTAACCAAATTCGAATCTTAGCGCAACATTCCGATTTTTCCGCATCCAAACTTGATGGACAACATTTGTAGAAGAAGAACATCGATTCTCGGGGACATCTGAAAATTTCAAAATAAAAAAAAAATTTCAAAAAAAAAAAAAATTTCAAAATAAAAAGTTTTTTTTGAAAATTTCGATTTTTCGGAAAATCCATCTGTCCTAGCTGATTTATACTGTCGAATTCGAGTTTCCCGCCTATTTTTACCCCTAAAACGCCTATTTTTGAGCATTCTGTGCTTTTGTCGTAAGGTTCGGTGTTTCGGTTGGTGTTTGCACAGAATTGACGCTACAGTAACCCAAAAACCCCAAATTGAGAGGTAGAGACGCAGAAAAATGGTTTCTAGGGTAGTTTTTGATGGGGAATTCGAATTTGATATTGAAAATGTTGAAAAATCAAAGTGTTGGGATAAAAAAATGTTTTTGAGAATTAAAAAAAATTGAAAAATATTTTTTTTTAACCTGTGAAAATGTGTCTAAGGGTAGTTTTTAGTGAGAAATTCAAATTTTTCATCAAATTTTCACTAAAAACCATGTTTTTTGCGTTAAAAAAAGGGTTAAAATGATGATTTCTAAATTTTCAAAAAACTTTTTTTTTTTCAAAATTTCGAAAACAACAAAATGTCCCAAAAATGTGTCTAGGAGTAGTTTCGAACGGGAAATTTGAATTTTGCATTGTTTCAACTCTATCTGTCCATCTAACCCCCAAAACTCACAATATATCCGGCCGAAACGGTTCCTCGGGCCTCTTACAGTAACTAACACTTCCATTCGAGCTTCCTTGTAGACTATTCAAAATCGCGGCGATTAGAGAGCATATCAAAAGAAGAGTGAGCATACAGCAGACTAATCTCATCGATGATGGAAGCACACAAAGAGTATCCGGCTCATCCAGCACGTATTGTCCGGGTACCACCCTTTTTCCGGTTCTCAAGGATCTGAGGGACGGTGGACGGGACCATACGACGACTGGGGAGTCTGGAGATTCTAGCATCTGGAAATAGAGAAAATTTGAATTGTTTTGCAGAAAAATTCTGGGGAAAATGAGCTAAAATGGTCAAAGTTAGAGCTGTTTGAAAATGAAAAGTCTAAATTTCATTTTTTGAAAATCTAAAACTTTGATTTTCCGCCTGAAACTTTCATTTTAGAGCTTTAGAACTACAAAAATCGGCTTTTCCATCGAAATCTACCCCTAAAATATCAAAAACCGAAAAAGTGCCTCATGGCCGAGTTTTCAAAATTTCTAGGCCACCAATTTGGAAAACTCGGCCATTTCCGTTTTCGGTCTTGTAATACATGTTTCTAGGGTAGTTTTTTGCGGGGAATTCAAATTTCAACTCTGTTGTTGCCAAAAATAATTGGAAAATCAAGAAAAATCCATATGACCGAGTTTTTTGGATTTTCTAGTCCATGACACAATTTTAGGGCGAAAACCCTGAATTTTGACCAGGTTAAGATTGTTTTTAGCTGTTTTATTTGCAAAAATTGAGCTCAACGTCGAAATATACCTCTCAAACATCAAAAAAAAAAAAAAACGATCATGACCGAGTTTTGGGATTTTCTAGGCCAGCGTACTCTTTTATGGCTGAAAACCTTGATTTTCATTGCTTGAAACTTGTTTTTGAATCTTGAAATTATCAAAATTGAATTCCTCATCAAAATCTACCTCTAAACTAACAAAAACCAACGAAAAATCGAGGTGGCCGAGTTTTTCGAGGTGGCCGAGTTTTCGGCACATGCTTGTTTTTGGACCTTGAAACCTTGAAATTCAGCTTTCCCATCAAATTCTACGCCAGAAACACTAAAAAGCTAAAAAAATCAGTCATGGCCGAGTTTTTAAAATTTCTAGGCCATTATACTATTTTAGGTCGAAAACTCTCCAATTTCGACTCTTCTGACTGATTTTCAGCTTTTGAAATTGCAAAAAATGACTTCGGCGTCAAAATCTACCCCTAGAACATCAAAAAAACCGAAAAAATTCCAGGTGGCCGAGTTTTTGGATTTTCTAGGCCACCATTTGGAAAGTTAGGCCATTTTCGTTTTCGGCTTTATGATACATGTTTCTAGGGTAGTTTTTCACGAGGAAGTTGAATTTTTGGTTTATTTTGAGCTAAAAATTGAGAAAAAGCGGAAAATTTCGAAGTGAAAAATTGGAAAAAAGAGCAAAAAAAAGTTTTCGCTCAAAAAATGTCAAGGAGCCTTTTGAAGAACAGCAGAGGAAAGGCAAAATTTTGAAATATGGACCATTCATATGAGGTTGGAGGCCAAAAACAAGGAAGAAGGGAACTTTGAAAAAAAATTCCAAAAAAAAATGTTTTTTGAAAAATTGAAAAATTCCAGATTTTTCCCAAAAATCTTAAAATCCGACTGAAAACCATAATGTTTGTCTATTCATACTTGCCCAAGGACCCATAGAGATCTATAATCTTTGACCAAACAAAAATGAAAATTTTGTCTTTTTTGGTTTAAAAAAAAAAAACTAAAAACCACAAAAAAACCCAAAAAAAATGTAGTAAATGTTCCTCAAGAAGACGTCCCAAAGGACATAAATCCTCCATACAAAAGACGCTTCTTTATCTCATGACAAGTGGGTGAGGGAGACATTTTGATGTTCCCAAAAATTGGAAATTTCCGGAAAAATTTTTTTTTTTGGAATCAAAAAAGAGGAAGAGGAGATCAAATTTTATACTTTTCGAGCGAAAAAGAGAGCCTTCGATTTTAGGTCCCCCCTCCCCTCCCATGTGTCTTTTACGGCTCAATTCTGGGGAAAAGCATCGAGGAAACCACGTTTTATGGTTTTTCGGAGGGTTTATTTTCGCGTTTTCGAGGCAGAAACAGAAACAGACGGAAAACACACAAAAAGACACACTTCCTTAGATTAAAATAATGACGTGGCAAGGGATTCTTGATCAGTTATCCTTATCCTTAGGCTCAAGTTAAGCTTAAATTAGGCTTAAGCAGTTAGAGATGACTACACAACTTTAAATGCATTTTTCACGCTTTCAAACCAATTTTTAGGTTCTGAAACTGCAAAATTTTGATTTGCCATCAAAAACTGCACTAAACACCACAAAATCCTGCAGAAAGTCATTAAAATGCTAGAAGTTAGGCCTATAATAGGAGCCCCGTCAACTTTTGAGCCAAAATACTTCATTTCCTGTGAGAGATATCAAAAAGTTGTCAACTGATAAAATATTTATCATGGTATCAGCAACATTTCATCAGTTGAAAAAATTTTGATAACTCTCATAGGAGCTGAGATAATTGAGCTTGAAGTTGACAAGTTGATTCTATCAGTAGATGATTTAGCTATCAACTTTAAGCCGATATATCTCGGTTCCTGTAAAAGATATCAAAAAGTTATCAACTGATAAAATGTTTAACATGATATCAGCAACATTTTATCAATTGATCACTTTTTGATATCTTTTACAAGAAATGAGATAAATGGCCTCAAAGTTTATGATTTCGGTGGGCTTCTACCATAGGGAATACGGTTAGCTTGAGCCCTTTCACTAACTTCAAATGCTTTTTTCATCCTTTTGAATCAAATTTTAGGTTTCGGAACAACAAAATTCAGATCCCCCATCAAAAACTACACTAGAAACCACAAAATCCTACAAAAAAGTCATTAAAATGCTCAAAGTTAGGCTTAAGATTACCGTACTCCCTATAATAGAAGCACGTCCACTTTGAGCTCAATTATCTCGGTTTCTGGGAGTTGTATCAAAAAGTTGTCAACTGATAAAATGTTTATCATGATATCAGCAACATTTTATCAGTAAACAAAATTTTGATATCTTGCATAATAATCGAGATAATTGAGCTCAAAGTTTATGATTTTGGTGGGCTCCTATTAGAGTAAATTGAGCCACAAGCGATAATCAACCATCTTTGAACGTTTTCATCTCAGAATTTTTTCTAAATTTGCTCATTTATAGTTTCAAATACGGGCTTTCTTTTGATGTATTTGGTTTTCTGCACAAATTTCTAGAAGTCGAGTTATGGGCTGTGAAAGTGATTTCAGTACTAATTTCTCACTTTTGGAGTGAGTTTTTGAAAGAGTTAATGGGAGTTTTTTTGCATTGTTCGAGTGTCAATCGCAATTTTGAAGGATTCTCTACAATCTGACAAAGTTTCTTCATTTTTCAAAAAAAAAAAGTTTTTGAAAAAATTTTTGCCATGGGTACCCCCCATTGCGAAATTTTCAATTTTTCGAAAATTGTTTAAATGTGCTAAAATGAATTCTAAACACATAAAAAGGAAAAAATGAGTCTTTTCACAAGATTCTGTAGCCTATATCCGTTTTGAAATCCGAAATAAGTGATTTCTTCCAAAACTCCAATGAATCGTAGTCTTTCGAAAATCGCCCAATAGCACTCAAATCTTGTGAAAACATAGATTTATATACTTCTTGACTGATTTATGACAGTTCCGCAACCAATATGATCAAATAGGGGGATTTCGACTGACATTTTGAGTAGAAAAGGCTTTTCGGCAGTGCTTCAAGAATTTTTCAGAAATTATCTTTTTCGAGCTTTTTTCCTACTGAAATAATAGAGCAAACATAATTTAGATTTTCGAAAAGTTCAAGGCATCCCTCCAACATCAAAGAAAAAAAAGAAAAAAAAGAAAAAAGAAAATGGACATTGACGGAATCGAACCCCAAACTTGTGATTACTATTCATCCCCACTATCCACTCGGCCACTGTTGCTCGTTTCTTCCACAGTGGAGAATGTATAGAGGAAAGAGGGGAAAGTGGAAGGCAAGGAGGAGACCAAAAAAACAGCATATTTTCAGATGGACTTTTCTCGACTTCTAGAAATTTGTGCAGAAAACCGAATACATCAAAAAAAAGCCCGTATTCGAAACTATAAATAAGCAAATTTAGAAAAAAATTCTGAGATGAAGGCTAAACCTCATTTTCACCCGTTTACACTGATTAATTAGTTTTGAAATTGCAAATTTTGAATTTCCCATCAAAAACTACTCTAGAAACCCAAGAAAAACCAGAAAAAATTCATATGGCCGAGTTTTTGGAATTTTCTAGGCCACTGTACTCTTTTTAGAGTAAAAACTCTATTTTCACCCTCTCACACTAATTTTTAAGTTTTGAATATGCACAAATCAAATTTCCCATCAAAAACTACCCCAGAAACCATAAAAAAACCAGAAAAAATTCATATGCCGAGTTTTTGGAATTTTCTAGGCCACCAATTTGGGACACTCGGCCATGCACTATTTTGGTCCCTGAAAAATGGTTCTAGGCTAATTTTCACCGTTGATTCCGATTTTTATGTTTATTCTCAGCAAAAAACAGTCCCGGAAGCTGTGAATTTGTATTTCTGATTTTCTAGGGCACCCATATTGGGAAACTTCGGCCATCATTGGAAAATTGGGCATTTTTTCACGGGAAAAGCAATTTCTTAGGCCAGTTTTCAACGCTTAATTCAATTTTTGAGTTTATTTTAAGCAGGAACTAACGGAAAGGGAAGAAAAAAGTAAAAATTCTAAACCCAACTTGTCTTTTCAAACTGAGTGACAAGAACTCTTCAATTTTTGACCAAAAAATGGTCAGAAAATGAATTTCTGGCTTCTGAATGAGATGTACAAGATCTTGAATGCAAAATGACTTTATTAATCAAATTCAATCAATAAATCGATGACCTCCTTATTTCTTCTTTCCACCACCAGCTCCAGCCAAACCACCAATTCCTCCGAGTAGGCCAGAAACGCCCGAGAAGATTCCACCAAAGTCCGGAGCATCCCCACATTCGGAAATTGTGAAGATGGTCAAGAAGAAGAAGATAAGAATAGTAAGAGTAGAAGAATTCATATTTTTCGATGATTTTTCTAGAATCAGACAGTCCCTTTTTATAGCAGGCGAGATGAGATTGGAAAAATCAATTTTCCAAGGGGAAATTGCTTTTTTCATTTTCCATTTTCCCTGGAAAGATGGTTATTTTTTATTGGATGACCAAAATTTTTGGATTTTCTAGGTCATGACCTATTTTTTTTCTAGGTCATGACCTAGTTTTTTCCAGGTCATGACCTACTTTTTTTCTCTGGGTCATGACCTAATTTTTTCTAGGTCATGACCCAGTTTTTTCTAGGTCATGATCCAATTATTTCTAGGTCATGACCTTATTTTTCGAGATTTTCTATGTCCTGACCTAGTTTTTTCCAGGTCATGACCTAATTTTTTCTAGGTCATGACCCAGTTTTTTCTAGGTCATGACCCAATTATTTCTAGGTCATGACCTAGTTTTTTCCAGGTCATGACCTACTTTTTTTTCTGGGTCATGTCCCAGTTTTTTCTAGGTCATGACCCAATTATTTCTAGGTCATGACCTTATTTTTTTGAGATTTTCTAGGTCCTGACCTAGTTTTTTCCAGGTCATGACCTACTTTTTTTCTGGGTCATGTCCCAGTTTTTTCTAGGTCATGACCCAATTATTTCTAGGTCATGACCTTATTTTTTTGAGATTTTCTAGGTCCTGACCTAGTTTTTTCCAGGTCATGACCTACTTTTTTCTAGGTCCTGACCTAGTTTTTTCCAGGTCATGACCTACTTTTTTTCTGGGTCATGTCCCAGTTTTTTCTAGGTCATGACCCAATTATTTCTAGGTCATGACCTTATTTTTTTGAGATTTTCTAGGTCCTGACCTAGTTTTTTCCAGGTCATGACCTACTTTTTTTCTGGGTCATTACCTAGTGTGTTGTGGCCTAATGAGTGTTGTGGCCTAGAAATTTCCTTCAAAAACTCGGCCACCTGATTTTTTTTTCGGTTTCTTCGACTTGTCTGGGGTGGTTTCTGATGCTAAATCCAAATTTCGCAGTTTAGGAACACACACGCCATTGTGAAAAAGTGAAAAAGCGGAAATTTTTTCGATTTTTTGGGATTTTCTACATTTTTTCACCGCTTTTACAGTATTTTTCTAGCATTTCTCGCAAATTTGAAGTGTAGATACAGTACTTTTTTGAAAAATTGGCTGTAAAAATTAACAATTTATTGAAATTCAAAGAAAAATATAATCAAAAAATTACAGAATTATAAAAAAAAATTAATTTTTGAACATTTTGAATTTTTCCAACGACTTCGCCTCCTGCATTTCCTTGATCTTCTTTTGTATTACTGTAGATGGAGTACTGTAGCCATCCTCCTCTTCATCGAAGTTAATTGGACTATCTCCATGGTTGCTATTAACTGGAGCCGCCGGTTTTGGGATTACTGTAGTTTTCGTTTTCTTCTTGCAGTCCTCTTCTTTCTGGGTTACTGTAGTTTCCCCATAGTCATGTTGAGGGTTTTGTGGGATTACTGTAGTTTCGGAATCTCCAGAATTGAATCCTCCCGAGTGGGTTACGGTATCCGGGCGGTCAGAATTCGCCAAATCAAAAGAAATGGAGAATGGAATAAGGATGAGCAATAGGAGGAGTTTCATGAGGAAATTGGAATTTTGGGACAATTTTGGGGTCTTTAAAGGCGCAGGAAGGTGTTTAGTTTCTTGGGAAAAGAAGGAAAATAAAAAATGGGAAATTTTGGGGTTTTTGGGGTTTAATGCTTTTGGAAAATTTTTAAAAGATTAGTGATCAACAAAAAATTTTTTCAAAAAAAGAAATTACAATTTTTTCTCGGAATTTCAGTTCTGAAAAGTCTGAAAATTTTGATTTTCTAGAATTCTGAATTTTTTGGAATTTATTAAAAAAAAAAATTTTTTTAACTTAAGGTATTCCAAACATTCCAGAAATACTAATTTATGGAACTTTTTGAAATTTCTGAGAATTATAAAATCTTTGAATTTCTGAAATTTGAGAAAATAAATTTTTTTTTGGAAATCCGGAAATTTCAAAAATTCAAAAAAATCTAAAAATTTGATTTTTTGAAATTTTTGGATTTATGAAATTTCAGAAATTTTCAGGAAATTTGTATTTTATTGGAGTTTTCTAAAAATTTCAAAGAAAAATTCTGAAATTTTCGAAAATTCCAGAAACTTCAAAATTGCGAAAAATTCCAAAAAATTTCTAATTTAATTTGTTCAAAAATCTGAATTTTCTGAAAATTTTGTAAATTACGACCTCTTTTTTCTAGAAAAATCCTATTTCGCTTTTTCTACTTTTCCGCAACTTCTCCGAAATTTCTTTAAAAGAAAACCATAAAAATTTTTATAACCCTTTCTGATTCCCCCCCCCCCCCCATTTTTCATTTTTCCCCGAAAACCGGAAGCTTTTCCACCGGAAGCTTCTCCAAATTTCTGCAAAAAATGAAAATTTCATATTTTCTGCTAATTTTCCTATTTTTCGGAGCCCTGGAAGCCCGTCAACAGTACATGAGAAGATGTAAAAGTAGGGAAAATTAAAAAAAAATTTTTTTTCAAAAAACGTTTTCTCAGGAAGCACTGCAACCTTCTCTGAAATGGTCAAAAAGGAGCGGGAGAGTAATGGTAAACTATTTCTCTAGAATATCCTAAAAATTCCAGTTAATTTGGTCTAAAATTTAAGTTTTTGGGGCCATTTTAAAGGTAGTTACAATCCAAAAAACATAAGGCTTGTTTAAAGACGCATATCTTATTTCGAAATGATTGAATCTTATTGTATTATACATCATTTTGAAGCTCTTAAAATTCCCTATAAGCCCATATAATTTTCTCAAAATTTGAACCAAATTCAAGCAAGTTACAAGCGTTCAAACTTCTAAAAACGGGTTTTTCTCAATATAGCACACTTTCTAGGTTGCAACAAAAACGTGTGGCTCTCTATGGACCGTGCTTCAAAGTGTCCACAACTCAACGGAGCCATTGTCCCAGAGATTCGAGCTCTAAATGCCACGACTATTGTTGAGAGTCAGGTCCAACCGAGACTTTATGGAAGACGAGGGGTTTATAATGCAAATTGTGAATGGATGGTGAGTCTAGAAGACTTGAGAATTAAATTTTTGGATTTTCGATGTTGTGAGCTTCAAAATGAGCCTAAACATGACTAGATTCGGTTCAGCTATATTTTTCGGCTGCGTCGCGTGTGCAGGCTCATTTGAAGCTCGTAGTCTCAAAAATCTGTGTTTAAACTACTCAATTCGTGGTTTTTACGTTGTTAGCTTCAAAATGATCCTAAACACGACCAGCCTCCGCCGACTATGAAATTTCAGCTGAACACGCGCCGCGCGACCGCGACGCACACGAAAAACAGAAGCTAACCAATTCTAGTCGTGTTTAGGCTCATTTTAAAGCGCAAAACGTGACAATAACGAATCTGCTTTTGAAAACACAAAATTCAAAAGCTTTGAGCTCTAAAATAACCCTAAATATGACTAAAATAGGTCAACTTCCAGAAAAATCGATATTCCAGGTCATCGTTGTCAAGAGAAAAGGCTGTATCCTCCTGGACACCGACAATATTGAGTTCGGGTGTCAAGACAACACAATTTTCTATAACGGACACGAAGTGAGCAGTTATGTGTGTGCCACAAGTGTCTTTCCCGATTTGGAAATGGTTATGTGATTGGTTTCTGAATTTTGTGGTTAATAAATTTGAATTGGAATTTTGAAAAACACATTTTCAAATGTAAAATTTTACTGGCTTTCGAATGAAACTAAAATCAAGGCTGTACCTTTAAAATAAACCGAGTTATGGTCTATTTTAATGGAAAAAGGGTGCCTGAAGCAAACGCGCTTTATTGAACTTTTTACTCTGTTGAACTTTATAGGTGTTTCATATTACCTTGTAGCCCTTAAAATTTCCTATAACCTCATATTAATTTCTTCAAATTTGAACCATTTTGAAGCGAGTTACAAGCTTCCAAACTCCCATTCTCAATAGAGCGCACTTTCCAAAAAATCCGGGTTGACAAAAAAGACGTTTATTTCAAACTACAAAAATGATACAGTAAGAAAATTTAGAAATCAAAAAGTTTGGCGAAGAATCCCTTTGGTGGGGGTGGGGTTCCGGTTGGTGGGGATCCTGGGGCTCCAAAAGGTCTTGGTGGTGGGGATCCGGTTGGTGGTGGTCCAGTTGGTGGGGATCCAGCTGGTCATGGTGGTGGTGGTGGTGGGCTTCCAGCTTGTCTCTTGCCACGGACAGGAGCTCCAGATGGTGGTGGTGAAGGTGGGGATCCGGTTGGTGGGGCTCCTGAAGGTCTTGGTGGTGGGGATCCTCCATTCTGTGGTGGTGGTGGTGGGGATCCGTTCTTTGGTGGAGCACCGCTTGGTGGAGGTGGTGGGGATCAGTTGGTGGGGCTCCAGTTGGTGGACTACCTCCTGGCGGTGGTGGTGGAGGTTGGACACCTGAAACTTGTCTCTTTCCACGTGGTCCAGCTCCTCCTTGTGGTGATGGTGGTGGTGGGGATCCGGTTGGTGGGCTTCCTCCTGCTGGTGGGGCTCCTGATGGTCTTGGTGGTGGCGATCCGCTTGGTGGGGCTCCTGGTGGTGGTGATCCTCCGCTTTGTGGTGGTGGTGGAGGTGGAGATCCGGTTGGTGGAGCTCCTGATGGTGGTGGTGGTGGTGGGGATCCTGGGGCTCCCGATGGTCTTGGGGGTGGTGATCCGGTTGGTGGAGCTCCTGGAGCCTGTCTCTTCTCTCTCATTGGTCGTCCAGTTGGTGGTGATCCAGTTGGAGGACTTCCAGTTCTTGGTCCTCTTCCTCCTGGTCCTTCTGGTCTTCCGGTTGGTGGACTTCCGGTTGGAGGTGATCCGGTCCCTCTTGGTCCTTTATGGTTTCCATGTGGTGGTCCTCCGTGACGACGTCCTTCTTCTTCCTCTGAGGATGATCTTGGTGGACGTTCTGGTCTCCCGGTTGGGGGCGCATTCTCAACCTGACTCTTTCCAAGGAAATGGCCTCCTTGTTGGCCGTTTCCTGGGGCTCCTGTGACTTGTTGTCCTCCGAATCCTCCGTTTTGGTTTCCTCCTTGGTTTCCACCAAATCCTCCTTGGTTACTATCTTGCTGGTTACCTTCGAATCCACCCTGGTTACCTCCTTGTTGTGGAGCTCCAGAGAATCCGCCGTTCTGGAAATTTTTTATCTACGGTAGTAGAACACTTTTTGCTGAGCCTATCCTCCAATTTTTAGCCCTCTAGGTCTATCTTAAAGCAAGTTATGCCAATAGTTCGTTAGAGCGCATTTGCATGGAATTTTTCAAAATGATCCGATTGAGCTGAAAATTGGTGAGCATACTAATTCAACATATTCTCGTCTTATCACAAGATTTCGAGCTTCTAGCGCAACCCCCAAGCAAGTTATGACAATAGTTCGGTGGAGCGGATTTACATCAAAAATTCCAAAATGCTCCAATCGGGCTCAAATTTGGTACGTATGTTTTCTATGGCATTCCAAGCTTACTTTCAAATTTTTGCAATGATACCTTCAAAATGAAAGAAGTTATAGTGAACGTTCGATAGAGCGCATTCTCATCGAAATTTTAAAAGTGGTCCGATTGGGCTGAAAATTGGATTTCACCTTTTTTCAAACTATGCTAGTCTGTTTTCCAAACTTCAAGCCTCTAAATCAACTTCCAAGCAAGTTATACAAAAAGTTCGGTGGAGCGCATTTTCTCCGAATTTCTCGAAATGTTACCTGTTGACCTCCGAATCCTCCGTTTTGGTTTCCTCCTTGATTTCCACCGAATCCTCCTTGATTTCCTCCTGGCTGATTACCTCCGAATCCACCTTGGTTACCTCCCTGTTGTGGAGCTCCAGAGAATCCGCCATTCTGAAAGTTTCCAATAGAGCGCGCTCGCGTTTTTAAATTATATTTTTGCTTAAAATGTTGTTCACGCGAGCAAAAGTTCGGTGGAGCGCATTTGCCTATGATGCTTCAAAGTGCAGTGTCTTCTCTGCAAATTGGTGAGCACACTAATCTAAGTTATTCTAGACTATTTTCGAAATTTCAAGGATTTAGCTCGATTTCCAAGCAAGTTATGCTAAAAGTTCGGTAGAGCGCATTTGCCTAAAACGCTTGAAAGTGAGGGAATTTGCTGAAAATTGGTAAGCTTTTTTATTTAAGCTATTGCGGTCTTTTCTGAAAAATTCAAGCCTCTAGAGCAACTTCTAAGCAAGTTATTCTAAAAGTTCAGTGGAGCGAAGTTTCTCACCTGTTGTCCTCCGAAACCTCCATTTTGGTTTCCTCCTTGGTTTCCACCAAATCCTCCTTGTCCGTTACCTCCAAAGTTTGGTGGTGGGGATCCTCCGTTCTGGAAATTTCCAATTTTTTGATCCAGAACTTTCTATATTTGTTCCGATGCACTCTCTATCTCAAAGCTGAGCAAACATGCCCTATTGCAAATCTTGAAATTTTCAAACAAATAAACAACACCCACTTGTCCTCCGAATCCCCCCGGGGCTCCAGAAAATCCGAATGGTGGTGGCGATCCGGTCTGAAAAATCAAAATTTCAGAAAAATTTCGAAATTGAAGGTTTTCAGAGCTCTTTGACAATTTTTTAACGCCCAAATTCGAATACCCCGCAATTTTCTACCCTAGAAACTATCAAAAAATAGCTAAAAATTCAATTTTTTATCAAACATTTCAAATTCCTGCCAGATCTCAAAATTCAAAATTTCAAAATTTTTTCAAAAATCCCTACCTGGCCACCGAATCCTGGGGCTCCGGAGACGCCTCCAAACCCTCCATTGTTGTTTCCGTTGAAACCTCCTTGTTGTTGACCTTGTTGGCCGCCGAAGCCCTGAAAATCAAAAAAGTTGGAAATATAAAATTTTTTGAAGAAATTGCGCTCCACCGAACTTTTATCATAACTTGCTTTAAAACTAAGATAGAAATTTGAAATCGGGAAAATAGGCAGGAATAGTTCAAATAAGTAAGCCCACCAAATTTCGGCTCAATTGGAGCAGTTTGAAAATTTTGAGGTAATTGCGCTCTACCGAACTTTGTCATAACTCGCTTTAAGATTGCACTAGAGTCTTGAAACTTGGAAAAAATGCTGAAACAGCTTACATGAGTATTCGCACAAATTTTCAGCTTGATTGGAGTAGTTTGAAAATTTTGAGGTAATTGCGCTCCACCGAACTTTCGTCATAACTTTCTTCAAAACTGAGCTAGCGTCTTCAAACATTGAAATGTAATCTAATATAAATATAACACACTTTTTAAGCGTTAAAAACTAAAATTCAAGCAAAAAATGCAAATGCGCTCTACCGAACTTTCCCCCATAACTTGCTTTAAAATGGACCTAGACGCTTCAAATTTTCAGGGTACTATCACTAAATGATAAGAAATATCTTAAGCAAACAATTTGGATGAAAATGCAAGTGCGCTCTATTGAGAATTTAAAAAAAGAGAAAGGAAAAGGCCATACCTGTTGTTGGGCGAGGGCCGTCGCGGCGAGTAGAACAAATATGAGTTTAGTCATATTATTCCGGAAAATGATACAAATTGGGAAAACTTCTATTAGGGTTTATATACCCTGAATTTTTGATGCTGAATTTTGAGTTTTAGGCTCCGCCCCCATTTTTTGGGGGAGGCGGCTGTCTACGTATGACTCATGAAACTATCAAGGAAGGGAAGTGGTTTATTGATTTAGCTGGCTAATCAGGATCAGGATGTTAGAGATCTGCCTCAAAAAATTTGAAAAAATTGAAAAAAACTTTTTTTTTTGGCTGAAAATTTTTTATTTATTTGCTCAAAAAATTTGTTTCGGGTCTTTTGAAAAATATTATTTTTTCACAGAGAACGATCAAATTTTGATGTCTTATTTCTTCGAAAATCAAAATAAATTTTAAAAATGATGCTAAAATTGTTTTCAAATAGGAAAAATGAGTCATAAGGATCAGCAAAGCTGAGCTTTCCAGGTTCAAAGCTCATGTAGCTAGCTCAGAAGTTGAGCTAGGCACTTCTAACATTCAAATTCTTACTCAGTGTGTTGCCAGCTTTCAAATGAGTATACTCATGACCTAGTTTTCTCGATTTTCATTTTTTCGACACCTCATGCGCCTTTAAACTGGTCTACAGTACCCCCGAAAATGAAATTTGCTCAAAATAGGTCATGAGTATACTCATTTTGAAGCTCTTGACGCGCCGAGCACGTATCTACTAATTAAAAACGCTGAAAATCGATATGTTTTAAAAATTTGTCTGAAAATATGCTGAAAATAACCTGAAAAATCAAAAATTTCAATTTTTTCCATAGAGCGCGTTTTGAAAATCTGGTTTTTTTCTGAACAGCATCATAGGCTTTCCTATTTCTGTTCTGATAGGAAAACTGGATTTGTGATAAGAATAATGATAAGAATTATCACTGCATTATCATAATCCATTTGTGATAATAAGATAATGTTCTCTTTATTTATTTTTCTGATTTTACCATTTTTTGTTGAATCTGCATTTCGATACGGTAAGCAAAATAGCTTAGCTTCAAGGTCGTACCTTATTTTTCAAAAAATTCGAAAAAAGTTGAAAAAATTGAAAAAACATATTTTTTTCCAGAAAATTGCAAGAAAAGCCTGAAATTTGGGATTTTCATAGTCTTAAAACTAAAAAAAACGAATTCCTCATGAAAATCTACCACAGAAACCAAGAAAAAACCAGAATTTCCTTGATGGCCGAGTTTTTGGATTTTCTCGGCCACCATTGGAAAAGTTAGGCCCTATGCGTATTTTGGCTAGGAAATATGGTTTTTATGGTGGTTTTTTATGAGGAAATCGATTTTAACATTCACATGATCGGGAAATAATTCAAACCTCCAGAAAATTCATTTTTTCGAAAAATTGATTGTGGCCTAGAAAACCAAATTCGAATTTTCCGCTCTAATTTTGCAATTTTACGTATTCAAATTAAAAAAAATGAGTTCTTCAACAAATTTTACCCTGGAAACTCAGAAAAAGCGGAAATTTTCATGGTGGCCGAGTTTTTGGATTTTCTCGGCCACCATTGGAAAAATTAGGCCATTTGCGAATTTTGGCTTGGAAGAAAAAGTTTCTAGGGTAATTTTCTATGAGAAATTTGATATTAATGTTTATTTTTGTCCCAAACAGCTCTTTTTGCCAGAAAACCGCACTTTGACGTGTCAATTTGGATCCAAAACCGACCAATGCTCCCTAACAGCTCCAGATTCCAAAATTCAGGATTTAAATTTAAAAATCAATTGTAAAAGGGAGCCCATGGATGGGAAAAGTGGTGGAAAATTAAGATTGGCGTGTCCAATAAGATGTCCAAAGGAATATGAAGTCCATGTGAGTGTCTGTGTGTCCAGATGTCCCCAAAAATCAAAAATTCGGGAAAAATCCATAGAACATGAGCTAAAAACTGCTGAAAAAGTGAAAAAATATTTTCTGTTTGTCCGTATGTCCGGATGTATGTTTAGCGGTTTTTTTTCGATCAACTTTCAGCCATTTCAAGCCAAGTTTAGCCGATTTTTCGTTCAATTTTTTTTTCAAATTTTCAGAATTTTCAGAAAACTTTCAGCCACTTTTTTTGCAGGTTCTCAACAAAATTCCATCTAGCAATCGGAAATGTATCAAGTATTATACCTATGGTAAATATCAAGGAGAACACGAGTGGTGAGTGCAAATTGACTAGCTACAGTATACTCAGCTGGGCAAATTTGACCCGGAAAAAATTGCAAAAAATTTTTGGACAAGTTTTTTTGCTAAATTTGTCCTCCCCAGAACAAAGAACAAAATGAGTCTGGACATCTGGACAAACAGAAATATAATTTGATTTTTCGAAAATCTTGAAAACAGTTTTTTGGCCGAAAAATACAAATCTAGGCCACCTTGAAAGTTTTGCAAAACGGATTTTTCTGAAGAATTAACGCGTTTTTAAATTAAATCAAAATCAAAATCGGATTCCTCACAAAAAATCACCCTAGAAACTTTTTTTTCCAAGCCAAAATTTGCAAATGGCCTAAATTTTCCCTTGGTGGCCTAGAAAATCCAAAAACTCGGCCACTATGAAAATTTGCGTTTTTTTTTTTGGTTTCTGGGGTAGAATTTTATGGGAAATTTAAATTTTCTAATTTAATTACCTGAAATTGCGAAATTAGGGCCGAAAGTGCAAATTTGGTTTTCTAGGCCATCTTCAATTTTTAGAAAATTGAATTTTCTGCAGTTTTAGACACTTTTACGATTGAATGAATTTCAAATTCAAATTCCTCACAGAAAATTACCCTAGAAACCTTTTTTCCAAGCCGAATTCGCATATGGCCTAACTTTTGCATCTGGTGGCCTAGAAAGTCCAAAAACTCGGTCACCATGAAAATTTCCGGTTTTCCTTGGTTTCTAGGGTAGATTCTGATGGGGAATTCAATTTTTCTAGTTTAAATACCTGAAATTACAAAATTAAGGCCGAAAGTGCAAATTTGGTTTTCTAGGCCATCTTCAATCTTTAGATAATTGAATTTTCTGCAGTTTTGGACACTTTTACGATTGAATGAACATCAAATTCAAATTCCTCTTAAAAAATAACCTAGAAACTTTTTCTTCCAAGCCAAAATTCGCAAATGGCCTAACTTTTCCCTTGGTGGCCTAGAAAATCCAAAAACTCGGCCACCAAGAAAAATTGTGTTTTTTCTTGGTTTCTGGGGTAGATTTTGGTGGGAAATTCAAATTTAATAGTTTCAAATCGCAAAACTAGGTTGGAAATATACAAATTGGGGTTTGAAAATGGCAAAAAAAAAACTTTTTTTTCAAATTTTTTGCTGGAATTTCAGATTTTTCGGATTTTAGGTACATTTGGATGCTGGAGCCATGTATGTCTACAATTTCGACACATTGTCGCTATCCGGAAGACGTTTTAATTTGATCTGTGGAAGCATTTTTCTTGGGATTACTGTACTTTTTTTTGAATTTTCGAAAAAATATTTTTTTTTTGAAAAAATGTTCCAGATGTTTGATAAAGACCCGTCGATAATATGTTAAATGTTGTTGATCAGACACAATAAAAATATGAAAAAATGACAAAAAAAATTGTTGAATGGGAAACATTTTTTATTGACCAAAAAATATGTTCTAGAACTTTTCTAACAGAAAAATTGACCAAAATTGAAATGTTTCGAAATGGAGGGATTTTAAAAGTTTTTCAAAAAATTCAAAAAAAAACAATTTCTGACAAAAAAAATTTTTTTCAGAAAAATTGCTGAAATAGTCTGAAATTTGTCATTTCCAGAGTCAAAAAATCAATAATTCAAGTTTCCCATAAAATTCTACCCTAGAAACCAAGAAAAAACGCAAATTTTCATGGTGGCCGAGTTTTTGGATTTTTCTAGGCCATCACAGAAAAATTTAGGCCATTTACGTATTTTGGCTTGGAAAATAGGTTTCTAGGGTAGTTTTTTATGAGGAATCCGATTTTGATATCTATTCTATTTAGAAGTGACCCAGTATCTCAGAAAATTCAATTTTTCAAAAACTGCAGGTGGCCTAGAAAACCAAATTCGCATTTTTCGACCCTACAATCGCAATTTTAGGTTATAAAACTAGAAAAACTGAACCGCTTATCGAAATCTACCCTAGAAACCAAGAAAAAACGCAAATTTTCATGGTGGCCGAGTTTTTGTCTTTTTTTTGCTTTTTTGACCAATTTTCCAAAATTTCCCGTGTTATTCTTATATTGATCTGAAGTACCTGTGTTTACTATCGGACATTGTCTTTTTCGACAGAGAGAGAAAAGAGCAAATATTACATCTATCGGGACAAGATGGGTGAGAAACACACGGACGGACATCTTTCACAAGATGTACAGTTTTTCTAAACACTTTCACTATTTTCTTATAAGATTTCGACCATTTTATCCTACTGCGTAGCTGGGGGGGAGGTGGTAACTGGATTTCCTCTTTTGTTTTTAATTCTGAAGTGAGGAAAAAGTAAAAGTGTGAAGATTTCGCATTTTGGAGCGTTGTTTTGGTGGTAAAGCTGTTCGTCTGTTCGCCAACTGTGTAGCTCAGTTTATCAATTTAAAGGATATGAGTATTATATATCATTTAGAACTCCTACTGATCTACATTATCCATTTTGAATTATTCGAAAATATTGATTTTGAAGAAAGTTATATGCCAAAATGTAAGCTACCCAACCATATATCCTTCCGTCCGTCGTTCGTCCGCTGACCGAATTTTATATAATTTTGTAGAATTTTTCATTTTGAAACAAGATACACATTGCCAAAGCTGTGTAATCAAAAAAATGCTACCTTGAGGCACAACGTTTGAGTTTGATTAACTCGGTTCCTATGAAAGATATCAAAAAGTTGTCAACTGATAAAATCTTTATCACATTACCATCACTATTTTTGTAGTTGACAAAATTTTGATATCTTTTATAGGAAACGAGATATATGGGCTCAAAGTGTGGTGCAAACTCTATATTGGAGATAGCTCGAAATAGAAGGAAATGTAGAACTTCCAGAACAAATTAGGAATTTGAAAATATTGTTGATTCTGAGTATTCCGAAAATTCTAAAACTCCAAAAATGACGAAATCTCGTAAATCTACAAATCTAATAATTTTAAAATTCGAAAATATTGATGATTCCAAATAACCGAAAGCTTTTTATAATTCTTCAAAATTCCTAAAATTCCGGTAAAATTCAAAATCACGAAAATTCCTAAAATTTCGAATATTCTGAAAATTCCAAAAAAAAAAATCTAAAAGTCCAAAAATCTCCTTTTTGATCTATTTTTGCGAGGACCACCCCTGCCTCCCCCCCGGAACAGCTGTTGTCTCTCCCTCTCTCTCTCTCTCTCTCTCTCTCTCTCTCTCTCTCTCTCTCTCTCTCTCTCTCTCTCTCTCTCCCTCTATCTCTCTTTCTATACATTTTTACACAAAAATATACGTTCGAAAACTCATAAAGCGTCTTCTCTAAGAATGATTTTCTACGATTTTTCTTTTATTTTCAATCATTTTCGCACAATTTTCAACCAGTATGCCCCTTTAAATCTAGGTAATCTAGGTAACAAAAGCGGCAAGGTGTCAATTAAACTTTAAAGGCGCATAACATGGTTCAAAATTGAGCTAGACAAAATTTAAAACATGGAAAGTGTAGAAAATTTAATGCTGAGCAATTTTACAGTTTGGCATTTGCGATATTTTGATATTTGCGCCTTTAAAGAGACACAAGAGCGGCGCTAGGATTCGGAGTGTCACCCAAACTTTGAAGGCGCATAACTTGGTTTTAAATTGAGCTAGACAAATTTTGAAAAATGAAAAATGTGTGATATTTGATGCTGAGCAATTTTGTAGTTTACACTTTTTATCTAGCTACCTTACTTTTTGAGATATGCGCCTTTAAATCTAGGTAACCTCTATTTCTCTGCGTCTCTTTCTCTCTCTCTCTCTCTCATCGGATTTGTTCCTGTATTTCTGTGGGTGTTTTATGTTAATAATTGGCATCTCCTTTGGGTTATTATAAGAAAAAACGAGCGACGGAATTAGCCACCCCCGACGACGTTGTAATTTTCTTTTCCGAAGAAGAAGACGACAACGTCTTCTTCCTCTAAACCCTGTCATCATCTTCTCCAGGATTCCTAGAAATTGTCCTTATATCCTAGAACCTAATCCAACCTTCCCATGTCATTTCATTCAATTTCTAGTCATACAATTTGTAGAAAGTAGTCCTAGAAATTGAACTAAAATGTGTTGTAATTAGCTCAAAATTCGTTAAAAAGAACTTAAAATTAATAACAAATGGACCAAAATGAGCTGAAATGTGTTCCAGGCGCCCAACAGGTGGAATTTATCTGTAAACAGAGATTTAGAGAATACAAATAATATATTTTTCAGCAAACTTTTTTTCTTTTTTATGTTTTCACATCACATTTTTTGATTTTTGATTTTGATCTACTTTTCTTTCCTCCTGCATTTTCCCAGCCAATACTTTTTTTTTCTTTCTCCCCATCCATATCTTTTTTCTCTTTTTTTGCTGCAAAATTTGTTCCTAAAGTTAGATGGAAGCGGCTCGAAAATAATCAAAAATAGGTCAAAAATAGTGAGAACATGGTCGAAAAGTAACCTGGAAAATTGATGAAAAATTGTCCGAAAATTCCTGAAAATTCTGAGAATTTTTTGGCCATTTTTGACAAATTTAGGCAAATCTCTTGGCACATTTTTTTTTGATAAAGTTTTGGTCCATTTTAAAAATTTTGCCCTCACTAGGAAGGTTGTAATTGGGG